ACCAGAGCCCAAAGGCAAAAAGGACATGGGAAATTTACAACATACTAGGTGAACATGAGGCAAAGATGCAACAACTTGAAGCAGAGGGCAAGTTACCAAAAGCGACACCAAAGAAGAAGAGAAGAGTAGAACAAAGTGAAAGTAGTGAAGAAGTAACTTCATCTAGTGAAAGTAGTGGCAATGAAGGAAAAAGAAGAGTTAAAAACTCAGTCAGGAAGAAAGTAAAGCTTGGTCCGAGTGGGTTCTATTATGACATATAAATCCAACTATTCTATATTTTTACCCATATGAAATGTACGCCGCTCAGAATATAACGCCAACAGTTTTGGATGCCATGAATGGAAATGTTTCCGAATGGTATAACGAATGCGACAATGCCATTAGAAGGTCAGAAATAGTTCCTGGAACTTACGAATATACAACTGCTGTTTCTTATGGAAACGTAGGTGAGTTTGGAGAAGGTTCTTCAACAACAGTAGATATTGCTTGCGACAGGTTTCATATTATTTCTATTGACAACTCTTTCTTATACGTGGAACAAGACATTGAAATAAAACCTTCTGCCAAGTTGTCTGAAAAGAAAGGTTGCAATGGAATTTTCTATGTCGGATACCAATATGCTCCAGAAGTTTTCATGGGATATAAGATATATTCTAACTCTGACTTAGTTCAAACAGTAACATGGGCAAACTATGAATGGTTCGCTTTAAGAAACTCAGTACAACCACAAGCTAGAGAACAAACAGACCAGTATGCAACTATTGAGAAAATAAGAAGACTTGACCCTAACGTTCCAGGAGTTTATGTTAACCTTTCTGGTTCAGATGGAACTGCTGCCACTAAAGTAAAACTGAAACTTAGAGTTCCTTTGTCATCTTTCCTCATCTTCAGGTTTTTAAGATACTTGCCAAACTGGGCAGGAAAAATTTCTATCGAACTTACTCCAAGCAAAAATAACTTAGTCATTGCACCAACACAAGACCCATTCACTCTTACAGACGTAAAGGGAACAAATAAAACGTCATTCGCCGAATTTTGAAAGACAAAGTTGACTTAGACTTTGGTTTCTCAAACCTCAACACTGAAGTAAACTATTATTTCAATGCTGCTGGAGATGCTTGGGACCCAGTTAAGTTCACATGCGAAAAATTTGAATGCAAGAGAATAGAAAGCAGACTTGCAGTCTATATGTTGGACCCAGATATTTCAAATGCTTTAGCTGCCAAATATATTGCAGTTCCACTTATGTTCCCTATACACCAAATATCTGTCAAAGACTTTGCAGGTGAAGTTGGAAACCAAAGTGCTGACCCAGGTGCAAGAACAGATATTGCCTTAACAACTGCAATGAAACATGCAGATACTATGTTTGTTCTTTTCAGACGAACTATAAATGACTATTCTTGTTTCTACAACCCTGGTATTAAATATCATATAAACATAGATGGCAAATATTATCCAAGAGAAGAATATTCTACAGTTGAGGATATGAGGTCATACAACTTGACATTAGATGCTATGAACTTTAACAACAACTTCACAACAACCATTAACCCTGAAATGCAAAGTTCTATTATGCCATATGTGAAAGTATGGACCCATACAGGAGGTCAAAAAACTCAATATACAAATGGAGACCGTTCAAACTTTTGGCTTGGCATTCCATTTGCTGACTCAGAAGACTTTATGGGTGGTATTTCAACTGTTGGTACAGTTCAAATACAATATACTGGTGACAGAGACGGTCCAGATGAATTGAAAGCAAAGAAGTTTACAAAACCAATAGCACTTTTCACGGAAGATGCTCTTTTGAAAATTCGTTCGATGAAACCTGCTGGGGCTCCTCAGATTGGCATAACGACAGCTTCCATCGAGCAGATTTTGGCAGCAGGTCAGTAAGTTGTTCTTGAACTGACTTCTCTCCGTCAAATATTGACAGTACGCCAGTTTTGACATAATATTGTATTATAAACTTTCCTTTAGAAATATCTGTAAGTTTTGAAGTTATATTTTTGTCTGCTTCAAGAACTTTCACCATTTCAGTTATACCAACTTTCTTTGCTTTATGAAAATATTTAGGTTCAGCAAAGACTGCTATTCTATAACATTTTCCATTGTTTGTGTAAAGAACTATTCTGTCAATGTATTTGTATTGTTTGTGTGTGTAAACTTTGTTTTGCTTCAATTCGAAGAGATATCTGAATACGTCCATCTTTTTATTCTAAGTAAAATGTCATTTCCGAAAAATAGAAGTGTAAGTGTTTCAAAAGGTTTAATGGCGGTGGCAGATGTGAAGTTAAATTCACCAACTCAAACAAACAGTCAAAGTGTTGTTGTCAATGTCAAAGACAGAGATGTTGAAGTGGGGAAACCATACGAAGACGAAGATGGTATAACAATAGTTCCTGTAAAAGAACAACCAACATATCCTGAAGTTAGCAGAGACTTAAGTTCTGTTGCAGATATTCGAAACGACTACCAACAACTGAAAGACAAACTTAAAACTCAGGAGAAGATTTGTCAAGCTTTAAGTATAATGTTAAACTTGGTCGAACACAACCCTGTAAAAGTGAACTCATATGTCATTGCACCTCATGAAGTTTTGAAAGAACTATTGAAACTTTTGACAGAGGCAGACGATATAAACATCAAAGAAATAGAACCCGACATTAGTTGCTGTGGTGTTTCATATAATGTCATTGACAAGATATACGTTATGAAAGGAGGTGAAACGTTGAACTTAAAATATAGTTTCCCAGACGTTATAAAAATATTTGACGACCACAACATTTCATTAAAATTTATTTGCTAAGTAAATGGCAGAAGACATAATGGTTTATACTATTACGACTAAAAACCCTGAGTCATATAATTCTATAACAACAAACTTACAAAGTCCTCAAGGACGATATTGTAAACTAACCTTAAACACAATGACGACTAAAGCCTGTTTTGCTCTTTTGACACCAGAAGACTTTATTGTTGTGAATGGTAAAAAATACTCCTTTGAAGATACTTACTCAGATATACCACCAACAGGTTTTGTTGACTTATTTAATACTTTAAGGACGGGTGTAACATGTGCTGCAACTAGAGCAGGTTTCATTATGTTTGAATGTCCGACTGAGTTTACTATAAACGATATGAGTTATAATACAAAACTTATATCTGGTTTTTACTACCAACAGTTTCCTATAACAGGAAAAGGTGTCATACAAGGAATGTCTGTTCCATTGACTTTAAGCACACCAATCTTATATATTGTTTCAAACTTAGGTTCAAAGTGTTATTCGAATGTCGACAGAAACTATTATGACCAAAAGATACTTATGCGTATAAACAATACTTTCTCTGCTGGTTTGCCTATTGTTCATTCGAATGCAGAGTTTTCAGCTTTAGTAAACTCAAACACTTTAGCAAACATAAACTTAACCTTAGTTGACGCAAACTTTGTTCCTGTAAAACTTTTATGTCCTATGTATTTGTCAATGACGGCAGAAAGTTTCGAATTGGAAGATGCAACTGGTGAAAGTATTGTATTACAAGAACAACTTCAACAACAAATAGCTCAAGAACAACAAATGCAACAAATGGAACAAATGGAACAACAAGCTCAAGAATAAAAAATATTTTTTTTTATTTTTATAAAAAAATGTACAGAATAGATGTTTCAGATTTTTATGACTTCCAAGCATTCAGAAATATGTGTCCATTTCGAGACTATAACAAAGCAGTCGAGAATTTGAAACGTTTAGTCATTTATGTTGACTCTGCCCCAGAATGTTATGTCATGAAAGAATGGGATGTTGTCTTTAACAAACCAAGAGCAACAATAGTGTCTGAACAAGAATGTAGACAGAAACTTAAGAAAATAAAAGTTGTACAAGTTGGAAGGAAGATGTTAGATGCTTGGGATATCTTATTGTCAAAGTTAGAAGATTTTTCAGTTCGAGGTATAAAGTTCTATACACCATCTCCAAACTTCTATTCTATCTTCACTGGATATAAATACGAACAAGTAGAATGGACTTTCAAAGTTAACGCTCCAGAGGATCATAATAAGACAAAGTTACTTGTTGTTGTTGAGTTCGCCGCCAATCATACATCCGAGTTAGGTACCGGCAATGTTACATATTCTGACACACTCTCCACACCAGTTATCGATAGAGTTCTTTACAACGATGGCAACGAAGTAATTTCAGGCAATTTATACTCAGCCAAAATCATACTCAAAAGTAACTTAACAATTACAAAGACATATTATCTCTTTGCAACAGAAAGCAACGCTTCCAGCGCCTCTGTCACTAGCGTCAAAACATCACAAAATGTTAGCACTGCAACAGCCGTAGCAAGCACGAACAAGACAGAATGGACTTTCAAAGTTAACGCTCCAGAGGATCATAATAAGACAAAGTTACTTGTTGTTGTTGAGTTCGCCGCCAATCATACATCCGAGTTAGGTACCGGCAATGTTACATATTCTGACACACTCTCCACACCAGTTATCGATAGAGTTCTTTACAACGATGGCAACGAAGTAATTTCAGGCAATTTATACTCAGCCAAAATCATACTCAAAAGTAACTTAACAATTACAAAGACATATTATCTCTTTGCAACAGAAAGCAACGCTTCCAGCGCCTCTGTCACTAGCGTCAAAACATCACAAAATGTTAGCACTGCAACAGCCGTAGCAAGCAACAAGACAGAATGGACTTTCAAAGTTAACGCTCCAGAGGATCATAATAAGACAAAGTTACTTGTTGTTGTTGAGTTCGCCGCCAATCATACATCCGAGTTAGGTACCGGCAATGTTACATATTCTCTTGGAACGTCTCCATATTTATCTGCGCCAACTGTTGTTGCTGAAAATCATACAGGACCATTCAAGGCCGGTGAATATATTCCAGTTAAAGTTACATTACAACACTTTGAGGCAAAGACAGGAAACTTCCAATATAGATTCTATGCAGATCAGAAATGGATAGATCTCCCAGACGACAATGTAACTGAAGTAGAAACCCCATCTGCAATTAAGAAATTACATGCCGACGAAGGCAAAACATATCTACTCAACATTCCAGCTCCAAAGTATGAAGATATCAAAGAAGATGGGAAAGTTAAACTTCAAATTAGGTTAGCTGGATCCAAAGATCAAGCTCAATCCAATATCATTGAAACAGAGGTTTCACTTCAGAAACAACAATACGTTGCACCAAGCCCTGATGATTCCAAGCCAACTCCAACACCTGAAAATAGTGGACTTACTGGTGGACAGAAGGCTGGTATTGTTATTGGCGTTCTTCTTGCTGTTATCCTTATTATTCTCATCATCTACTTCGTTTTCTGCAGGAAACCATCTAAAGATAAATCATCATCTGATATCCAAGATGATTCCGGCTCCGGTGTTAATGTGTAATTTAATTTAATTAAGGATGTCAATTTGGAAGAAAAGTGAGAAAATTCCTAAAATGCTAAAAATGAATTTTCCAAACGTACTTTTTTATCTCATTTTTATTTTGAAAAAAATTTGGAGAGAAAACTCTTCGTTTTTGAATTTTGTCACGATGGTTTTAAAGTATAGGGTGTCCAAAGGTGTGTTTAGCACAAACCTGAATACTGCGAATAGAAATAAACAAGTTACATATATATATAAAGTTTATTTAAATATAATCACCATTGATTCAATCACGCGTTCGCAGCGATCGATCCAGGCTTGAAAGACACGCTTTAAATCATCATGAGAAAATTGCTCAAATTGCTCTCTTACAAAATTTTCAAGATCATCTGGACTCGCGAATTCGCGTCCTTCAGCTCTCTTTTTTAGCGTGCCGAATAAATAAAAGTCAGAGGGTGCAATATCAGGTGAATAAATTGGGTTTGGAACAACTTTGACATTGTTTTCCACCAAGTAATTCATTACCTTATGACTTTTGTGAACTCTTGAATTATCAAAATGAATTGCAAACTTTTGTTTTTGTTGTTTTTTATTTCTCAAACTCATCAGAATTGATAATTTGAGTAAGAACATTGTCAATTAGATACTGAGCATTCATCGTATTAGGTTTTTGAAGAATATCAATTGCGATGATGTCATTTACGCCCCAAAAAACCGACAACATCATCATTGGTGTGTCAATTTTTTTCTTCGGGAATGTTTGCGGATTTTTCTCGTAAACGAAAAAGGGGATTTGACGGAGTCAAATCCCCGCTCGCAAAAAGTGGACTTTACATGTCAAATTTTATATGCATGTAATGTCCACTTTTATGAGTTTTAGGAAGGAATTGGAAGCCATGAGTTACTGACATTTCATCAGTATCTCATAGCCTCCAATTCCTTCTTAAAATGGGAGAAACTTTGTCCGAATAGTTTAACATTCGGACAAAGTTTCTCCCATTTTAAGAAGGAATTGGAGGGTAAGAGATATACCATATGAATGTATATCTCTTACCCTCCAATTCCTTCTAGAAAGTGTCCAAACTTTGGGTTAATTGCAAACTATTAACCCAAAGTTTGGACACTTTCAAGTGGAGATGGAAGGCTTTGGGGTATATATTAATACAATATACCTCAAAGCCTTCCATCTCCACTACAAATGGGAGAAACTTTGTCCGAATAGTTTAACATTCGGACAAAGTTTCTCCCATCTTTCAATGTAATTGCTACCTGTGAGGTACTGACTTGAAGTCAGTGCTTCACAGGTAGCAATATCCAAAAATTTAAAAACATTTTATCAGTTCGTTAAAGAACTAGAGCCTCCTAGGTACTGAACCAGAATCAGTGCCTAGGGGACTCTAGTGATCTATATAAATCTGAGAAACTTTGAGGAAATTGTTCGACATTTCCTCAAAGTTTCTCAGCAATTTAGCGAGGAATGTTCGTTATCGTGTAGATATTTATAATATATACATGATAACAAACATTCTCCGCTAAAAGATGTAAAATCTTATAAGAAATGATTGCAAAAGAATAACAAATTGCAACAAATTTTATATGAAACTGAACCTTATGAGGTAGTGATTCAAGATCACCGCCTCATAAGATTCAGTTTCAATCTCAAGTATCTCAAAAGTAAGGCTCTATTTTTTGCCATGTAAAGTGTCACTTTACTGTCAAACCGTTTTTATCGTTTTCGTTTACAACATTTTCATCCTTCGGGATCCATATGATTTTGGCTTCTGTTGCATATTGAAACCAAGACTCGTCCCCTGTTACTAAAAAGCGAAACTTCTTGGATTGATACGCACCCAATATAGAGAGGAGCTCTTTCGAAGATTGGACTCTAGATTTTTTTTGAACTGAATTAAGGTTGTGCGGAACCCAACGTGTATACGCTAGTTTGTAGTTCAAATAATTGTGCAGATAATAACTGACTGTTGTACGTGGTATCTTTGTCATCTCCTCTATCCTTCTAAGTGATGCTCTTGGGTCTTCATCTAGCGCTTGAAGAATTGCTTTGATTTTTCTTTGATCCGGCGATTTTTTGTCAATTTTTATGATGGGCGCCTTTTTGTTCATGAAGTGATACATCCTAACATGATACGTTACAGTGGAATAGCTAGGAGCATCCATACCGAAGCATTTTACCAATGTCTCGTAGATTTTTTTACAGTCTTTGCATTTTTTGCAAGAGCGAGGATGTTTTCTTTATGATTCATTAAAAAAATGAAAAAAATCCCGCCAAAATTTCCCGCGAAACCGCCTCTTGTCTCAAAATTCATTTTATATCCCGGCATGGCGCCAAAATACAACATACTCATCATATACATATATTCATATTTTTTATTATATATTTATAATCAGCATATATCTCCTTTAATAGTCTCATATAGAGCGCTGTGCTAAACGCACCTTTGGACACCCTATATATTATACACATGTATTGATATTACTATTTTTGTATATTTTAAGAGAAAATTATATTCTCCTAAAGTGAAAACAATTTTCCAAATTGCAGCTCCTTCAAAGATTTCTGAAGACTCAACGGTTAAAATTACAGTTTCTATCACAGATCCAGCTGGTCAAACTGCTACCTCTTTATATTAATATAATATTTATTTTGATATATTTTTTAGTTTAACTTTTTTTCTTTGATAAATATTTTATTTTATATTTTAAACCCTTTATTTTTTAATTAAATCATGTCTTGTAAATCAAATTACAACATAGCAAACTTTTGATTCGATATATATAGTTTACGTAACAAGTGATAGCTCCATTAGAAAGCTGAGTTTTGAAAATTACAATACATAGCATATCATTTCCAGACTTTCCCACTTTATTTTTTTTTTATTTTTTTTAAAATGTTTCGTAATTTCAGGATGCTTTTCCCCTTTAACTTTGTTAAATGCGTAATTTTTTTCTATCTGACAACTGGCTTGAAAGATCATTGAAAATGCGATATAAACAATTTCATTTTTTTTCGACTTTTTTTTATAAATAAAGAAAATAAATATACAAATAAAATTATTTCTTAATTATTTTGTCATATTTGACAATTATATCCTGTCTCAAAGTATCCAAATCCGCAAACTGTGTTGCGTATCTCGAAGTGTCTTCGTCGTACGGCTTAATTACATCAGCCCTATCCAAGAACATCATCAAATGAAACGCGAGAGCTTTGTATTTTATCTGCATCAAAATTGCCAAAGCAGGATGGAAATCTCTTATTGATATGAACAGCAACAAAGCGTTCATTGCATTTCCAGTATCCAAGAAGTGGTGGGCGGCTCTTCTCAACAAACTCTTCGACTCATTCGAAAACTCTTCCAATTTGCAGACTTCGACAGAATCTTCCCATCTTCCGTTGTCCTGAAGATATCTTGCGGCAGAAAGATTAGCGCCAGCTAAATGCATCAATATACAGCCTTCTATAAATCTGTGCTGTGCAAAAAGTGGAACAGCGGTTGTTATCAAAAATTCTGTCACGTTTTGTGGCAAAATTTTATCTTCGTAACCGAGAAGCAACGCCGAACAAATGCTTGCCACTATTGTGAACTCGCTTTTGTTGGAGAGACTCTTGAAAACTTCGACAGCTCCTCTTCTATCACCCATTCTGAACTTGAACAACAAGTTGAAAATGGCAGAAATCGGAGTATCTGCAGGAGAAAACAGAGAAGATTGAATCCTCAACGCGGAAACAACTTCTTCTTTCCCTCCAAACATGGAATGCCGTGCTTGCAACCTCGGACCTCCCAAACTACGTGAAACACACTTCCAAATAATGGAATCAGTTGGAAATCCATGGTCATTAGCTATCTCAGCTATTTGAAGTGCTTCTGACCATGTTCCTGTAGTAGGATTCGTTAATAATTGCTCACCCATAAGCTCTAACCGTTGCTGGGCGGTTTTTAGCGGTTTTAAGAGGGCAGGTGAAGTGATTCTTTTTACAGATCTCCAGTCTCTTGCAATAACGAATTTCACGGCTTCGTCATTGAGCGGGGAGACGAGGACGAGTCCATTTCCTGTTACAGCGAATGAGGAAACAGAAAAAGGACAACTTTCCACTTTTTCAAGTGAAAAACCAAATTTTCCGTCTCTCGCGTGTACGTACAATCCGCTGGATGATCTCTCGAACTCTATCCTGTCTATGTCGATGAAAGGAGAGTATGTTTGCTTCGATGTACCGAAAGCAAAGTCGTAAAACATAATTACGCCGTCTGTGTCAGCAGTTATGATGCAATCGCCTTTCCAAGCAAGACAAGTTGTCCTGGAGTTCTCCCGTGAGTTACGCAGCCTCAGAACAGGCATCTGTGCTATGCCGTTCTTGTATGTGTAGACTTGGATTTCTCCGGTAGATAATAATACGGCGAAATTGGGAGTATCGCCTTGGAAACATGTTGCTGGTATTCTGGATACTTGGACTGCAACAGCGGTGATGGATGTTTGAAGAGTCATCGGCTTTTGTTTGACATCATAAAAAATACCAAGGTCGTATTTGCCGTGGACGAAAACGCCGAGCTCCTCTGAACATATTAGGTCTGTGGCAGGGCCAAGGCGAGTGTGGATTGGAATAACTTGGCGCTTGGGAAGATTTATTGATCCACACTCGGTTTTTGAGTACCACAGAAGGACATCTTTGGTAAGGAACTTGATCTTTTCAATGGATGTGCTGGATGCAAGGTAGTTCTGTGTGTATTTCCCTTCTGAAACGTCTGCGAAAATTATCTTTCCGGTTGGAGTGCCGAAAGCAAGGATTCCGTCGTAGAAATCGTAACAGGTTGGTATCTGTGGTATAATTTGAGACTGCGCGATGACGTAAGGTATATCATCTTTTATGGCAAACATAACTAAGCCATTTGATGGAGAGAACGCGATGTATCGCTCGGGAAGTGCACGGTTACATGCAGCGGATAGTGGTAAATACTTCGATTTTAAGTCAAACAGCTCTCTTTTCAATTTTATTGTTCCTGATTTTGTAAAAATGTAGTCTTCGTTACAGATATAGATACTGAGTGACGAGTCTTGACCATAAACTGTAATTTCGTTGTCATTTGTTAAAGAAGGAAGCAGTTTATGGAAAGATGATTGGGATGATTCATCGATTACAAGATTTCGGCCAGATTTGGTCGCTATGTTAAACGTAAGTATTTTTCCTTCAAGCATAATTAATAAAATATTACTAATATGGGGATGATGTTGAATTTCTACGATTTTTTCTGATTTATCTAAAGTATGGGATTGAGATTGAGATGTTGGAGCCTGCTTGGCATTCTTTGACGTGATAATTGTAAAGGATGGACCATTAGAATATAGAATTGCAGTGAATATATCTGAACTATTAACAGCCATCCTTGTATATGTACCAGGAACATCTATCTTCCAAAGTATTCGTGAGTTTTTCGCTTGATCTTCAGCTTCATACGGCCAAAAATCGATACTATAAATTGTATTTGGTTCTGCAAAGCCTAAAACGATTTTACGGGACCATTGAAGCTCCGATACATACTGAGCTTCAGATACTTGACGAGTGATTCCGAGTGTAAGACCTGATTCACAATCCCATAACAAAACTCTTCCGCAATCGTCTGAAATTGCAAGATAAGGTAGCTCATAGTGGAATTTAAGGCAAGTTATGTTAGAATTTAGAATTTCAATGGATCATAAGAAAGAAATATCATTTTTAGTAGTTTTATAGAGATAAATTGTGCCTTTACCGGCTAATGCAAGTAGCCCACATGCTTCCCAGTCCATGCTCCCTGTGTTGAACACTTTACTAGGTGGACAAAGTGAAGCAAATCGTATCTTAGCTTTATTAAAAGGATTCGCTTGCATTTTTTTTATAAATTGATATCGTCAAAAATTTTAATTCTACAATGTTTTAAATATATTAATATTTAGTTGTACAGAATCAAATCACATCTACTTGAAAAAAAAAAGGTAGTGGGGCTTCCAGGCGCGTTGCGCCCTCTAGCCCCGAAGATGTTTAGTATAAAACCGCTTTTTAACTTCACTTAAAATGCCACGTAAGCTACGTAAGAATATACGTAAGAGGAAGGGAGCATTGAAACATCCAATAGTAAAACTGACACCACAACAACAGTTGCAACAACAAATGCTGAATGACCCCACTATGTTGCAACAAATGTCAAGCAACCCTATGCTTTTAAACCGAGTTATTGGTGCACAGAGTGGAGGTTTAAGAGCGGCACTTTTAGCGAAAATGGCAGGCTATGGTGGAGCTGCAGACGGAACAGCTTATAACCCTCAAAGTCAAATGAATTTGAGTTCACTCAAAAATCAAATAACAGATGTCAAAAAGTCAAACATAGACATACAGAAACAAATAAGTGAAAACGAAAAGAAACTAGAATATGACAGACACACAAAGAAACTCAATGAGTTAAACGTAGAGAAAAAGAAGAAAGAAGAACAACTGAAAGAACTAAGTACAGAGGAATATGCGAAAAAAGTGTCAGAAAAAGCAGCAGAAGTAGCAAAAATGGAACAAGATGTTATAAATTTGAAAAACCATACTACTCAATATAAAGTACTGAAAGATGAAGAAATAAAACAAAAAGCCCTGAAGACATATATGGATAGCGATGAGTATAAAAAAGAAGTTGAAGCAAATGTAAAGGCAGAAAAACTTTTACAGTTGCAAAACCAAACCGTACAGTATGAAAACTTAGCACAAGAAAGTAAAAATAACGACGCAGCCATGCAAAAGGCAATGAAAAGCGCAGAATATATAAAAGCTAATAATGACTGGTTAGACGCCCAAGCCAACGCTAAAGCAGCCCAACTTATAGGGTCAATAAGGACAAAAATACAAGCGGATGAAGACAGTTCAAATGAAGCTTTAACGAATGCTGACTTTAAGAACGCCTTCGAAGCTCTTCATAGTAAGGTGAAACTAGTGAACGACTTCTCATCTGGAAAGAAACTGAAGTCTGAAGGTTTCGACAAAGAGTTAAAAGAAGTAGCACAAAATATGACGAAAATAACAGATGCAGCAACGAGACAGGCAGTTCAAAGTGCCCATGACGCCGTTAGAACAGCTGTTGTGGAAAGTCAAGAAAAAGAGTTACAACAGACCAAAAGAGACCTAGTAAATGCTTTCTTAAGAACGAAAAGTCAGGTAGGACATTATGCTGCAGATGGAACATATGTGCCAGCTGGTGGAACTTATATACCAGCTGGTGGAACTTATATACTAGCTAGTGGAACTTATATACCACCAAACCCTCCAAGAGAAGCACCTGCACCAGGACTACCTAAAACATTTACATCGTCACATGGACACAGACACAGGCATGCACCAAAACCAACACAACAACCAACAGTTCAAAATCCAGCACCACAACAACAACAACAACCAGCACAACAACCACCTCCACAAAACCAGCACAGCAACCAACAGTTCAAAACCCTGCACAACAACCACCTCCACAACCAGCACAACAACCACAAACAGAGCAAGGACATAAAAGAAGTAGAGAACAAGGAAACCAAGATTTCTTAAAAATGCTTAAGGAAGAATATGGTTACCCAGATACTCTTGACTTTAGTGACAGATATAAAGAAGCTATTAGAAAGTTCAAGGAAGGAAATACAGACCCGAACCTATTTAGCTTTATGGTTCAGCACCAAATGGGATATAATTTCAAACCTGGAAAATACAAGCTCGCTAAGGGATATGATTTAATAGCATATCATCCAAATGACATGAACGAATTTACTCCGAGATATTTGGTGTCAGAGCTAAATGACAATTCAACTCTCTTCATGAAACGCGTAAAAAATAGAGACGGAACGAAAGAAGAAAGGTTTATGAGTCCGGATGACTTAGATAGGGAACTTTTTAAAAACGGTCTCGGAATATATGAAATGCCAGCAGATGAGGTACAAGAAACTCAACAGGAAGAAGTTCAGATACAACCAGACATGGAAGAAATAGTTCAGCAACAACAGCTAGAAGAGCCTGAAGGAAACGAACAAGTCCCTCCTTTGGAAACTAACCTCACAGAACTAGATGAAGATTTGGAACAGCCGAAAAATCTTGACCCTCAACAAGAGTATGAGGTGAATATGGAATCTTTCCAAGAGTCTAAAAAAAATTCGGCTGACATAGTAGAAGAATATCGAAAAATGTTTGCCGACATACAAAAGACTCCAACATCAGATGAAAATATTCAGCATAGAATGGAAGTACTGAAAGATAATGTACGCAAATACAACAATCCTTTTTACTTACGACCATATAACGTTCAATCTTTGGCTGAACTCGGTGAAAATAAAAGGTTAAATTTCAACAAAACATATAGAAATGAAACATTGTTTAAAGTTCATTCAGAACCTAACCAATATGGAAACAAACCTACTTTTGTTTCTGCAGACTATGGAACTACAATGAGATGGGGTCATAAAGCTAATCCGGATAGGTGGTTCATAAACTTACAACCACAATTCCAAGAAGTTGTAGACGCAATGGAAGTGAATGGTGAACCAGATATAGCTGGTATTTTCAGCGCGGCTTTAATGCCATTGAAAGATATGAAAGATGCAGATATTTTGAACCAGTATGAAATGAACATGGCTGATGGAAATATAACACCTGACGTTCTAAAACATTTATCTCAAAGAACTACACAGAACCATAGAGATGGTATATTTGGTGAAGAGTTTAGAAAGACAGTTAGGGAGAGAGAAGGAAGAGAACCTATTGTACATGACCTTGCAAACGAAAGTTTACAAAATGTCATAAAAACTTACTTTGCAGACAATGAACCGAGAAGGGATGAATATTTAAGAAAACTCAAATGGACAGTACCAAATGAAATGTTAGTATTGAAAAACATGTTCCTTGACAAAATAAAACCAACTACAGAAATAAATGACGAAAGACTGAAACATTGGGTAAAAGCTTTCCCATTCACAAAAGATATTATTGGTAACATGGAAAGAAAACCAGAATGGCTACAAAAACATATATTTGGAAACGAGCTTATTCCATATGGACAAGCTCTGTTTGAAGAGCTTGAACCGGAAACTCAGGAAAGAGTCATGCAAACAATACGCGAAGACTCAAATACAAACTATGACAAAATCTTTCTAGGATATAGGTTACCTGAGATGGGCGACCAGAGCCCAAAGGCAAAAAGGACATGGGAAATTTACAACATACTAGGTGAACATGAGGCAAAGATGCAACAACTTGAAGCAGAGGGCAAGTTACCAAAAGCGACACCAAAGAAGAAGAGAAGAGTAGAACAAAGTGAAAGTAGTGAAGAAGTAACTTCATCTAGTGAAAGTAGTGGCAATGAAGGAAAAAGAAGAGTTAAAAACTCAGTCAGGAAGAAAGTAAAGCTTGGTCCGAGTGGGTTCTATTATGACATATAAATCCAACTATTCTATATTTTTACCCATATGAAATGTACGCCGCTCAGAATATAACG